TAATTATTAAATTATTTATATTTTTTATAATTAAATTATTGTATCAACAAATGTAACATTAATCTATACTGTATTATAAAACATTTAACAAAAACTCTTAAAAACCATTTTTATGCATATTACTTAAAATTCAAGATTATAAGTAAATTATGTATAAGGACAACTTATTAAAGCTCCATGTTTGAATTCGTGTAACTAACTACGGATAAACATAATCAAATAGATGATAAACGTCTTATTTTGAAATATAAAAAATCTAAAATATAATTAGAATAATTACCGAGTTCTAACAAAATAAATAATTATTATCTTTATAAGAAAATTATATTATTAATCCAAATATGAATTATTTCGTTATTGAACCTAAATTAAATTACAATAAAAAATTGAATTAAAAAATTGCACAAAAAATAAGAGTTTTAAATAGTTAATTCGATATTAATATCGATATGTTTTTGTCAAATTTTTATGATATCCTTAAAAAAGTGTTCTTATAATATAGTGAGATATATATCTCAATTTTAATATTTCATTTTATTATTTATTTATGTCGATATAATACGATTTCTAGTTGTTTTGAGAAAATGATAATGTTTTTATTTTGAATAAAATACAAATTTAAATATGTCATAAAAATTTAGAGAAAAAAATATATCGATGTTAATATAAAATTTACTATTTAAAGTTCTGAATTTTTGCGTAATTTATTTAATTCAACGTTTTACTTATAATTTAATTTAGATTTAATAACGAAGTAATTTATTTATCGTTTAATAATATATATTTTATAAATATAATAATTAAGTATTTTGTTATAACGAATTATTATTCTAATTATATTTTAGATTTTTTATATTCAAAATGAGATGTATATCTCATATTGATTATATCTATCTATAGTTAGTTACACAAATTCAAAATTGAAGTTTTAATAAGTTGTGCTTACGCAAAATTTACTTGTGATCTTGAATTTTAAGTAATATGCATCAATAAACACCTTTATGCATAAAAAATAGTTTTTAAGAGTTTTTGTCAAATTCTTTATAATTTAGTATTGATAATTTAATGTAGTCTAATTTGAAAAAAATTGCATTAAAATGAAACAATTTCAAAACCATTATTTAAGGGTGTGAAACAAAGTTTTTGTTCATGTAACATTCGTTTGGTACATTGGATACGACTTAACAAAACAAACGATGGATCGTTTTTTTTTATGTTTGACAATATTTTTATGTAGAACAGAGTGAAACAAAGTGGAATACGCCTATTCCACACAATGTGTTCTCGCAAAAAACCAATGCTTTGATTGAAAATGTTCCCATAGATAGTAACGTAAAACCACTGGGTCTTGGCTCATGGCTGTTCTTTCGGTGCTACATTCCAAAAAATATATAGATTCGTAATCAAACACATCTATCGGCAAACCGTCAAGAGACTTTCCGAAAATCCTCTCCACCACCATTCTTACGATAACCGCTGCCCATTTGTAGTCCCTAAGCTTCATTTCCTATGAGATAAGAGAGAGATAAACAGTAAGGAGAAAATCATAGAGATAATAACAGAAAATATATAATCTAAATTATTTGTTAAAATTTAAATTTGTTCTAAAACTACCATTTCTGTAATATTTAAATAAATTTAAATTCAAAAATTATTCAACCATTGATAAAAAAAAAGGACAGACTGGATGGGTGTGTAACAATTGTACCTTTGGATTGGTTTGCAAAAGATGACCCTTCTACGTATATGTTAGTTTTACTATTACTTAACGAGTCAATGATATTAATCAATTTAAATTAAGTTATACTAAAAACATGCATCTGACGTGTAACTCAGTTGACAAAGAGATGAAGTGATTTTCTCCAAATACAAAACAGGTCATGGGTTCAATCCCGGGCTCTCCGATTAACCTCGGTCGTTGAGTGAGTAAAAAAAATATTCTCTACGTTGATGTCCTTGGAGACAGGTTCCGTATGCGTACGATAATCAACTTTTTGTCCAAAAAAACACTAAAAAGTAAAAAAAAAATCAATATCGTGTCATAAAAACTACACATTAGACCTTGACGTGTCACATACTTAATATGATGTAAAACACAAGTCTTGAGTTGTGGTACCTCTCGTACCCTAGTCTTTTAGAACAGTGTAAAAATGTGTGTTTTGGGAATAAATATAAATTACGTACCCGTCCTTGAATTTAATTAATTTACTGAATATATTTTTCTATTTACTTAATAAATAATATATTTGTTTTTCAAAAAGAGTGAATTGTGGATTTGGTCTTTATGGTATTCATTTTGTTTTGACATGGTCTTTATGACTAATGATTCTGTTAAATCAAGGGTCATTTTAGTCTTTTGCTATATATATATATATATATATGGTTGGGTTTCGATGAGCATAGAAGTTATGGTGAGAAGCGTAAAAACATATTTCCATCATTGCATCAATTATAATTGAATATTAACATTAATGAAGTGCACCAAGATGCACAATAGTCAATTCCCCTTTTAAAGTGCAATTTATGGATAATCATGAGATTAAAAGTTCAGATATCTTCTTACATTTCTCACCATAATTTCTCTTATCACACTCGACTATATATATATATATATATATATATATATATATATATATATAATGATATCAAAATAAATAAAATACAATATTATTTTATGATTTTATTTGTTTAAATAAAAAAATTTAATTATATACGACTTAATTTTATTATTTTAGTATTTTTGTCCATTTCGATATGAAAATCTGATTGAAGTTTATATAGAAATTTGTTCAATTTTAAGTTACAAAGACGAGAGTATGTATAAATCTTTCATTTAGTGAAAATCTAAGTTCATTTTGAGTTTTTTGAATGAAAAAACAATACGAAAGCTGGAAACCCTAATTTTATGATGATAAAATTGGAGTTCATTTCTTAGTGGGTTTCTTTGATTTTAGTGTTAAAATATCGATAATAAGTTGTTTATTGCAATGATAGAAAAAGAACCATAAAATTAAATTGTTTTTAACATAATTATTTTTCTAATTTAAATAAATCAAATCATAAAACTATATCTTATTTTATTTGTTCTAAACAAATATATGTTTTTATGATTTGATTTCTTTATGTTGAAATTTTGATTACATTAAAACATTAAAACCATATTTTTCACTATTATAATAAAATAAAATTGTATTTAATATAATTAATTTATTTTTATTAAGCAAATCAAATCAGAGAGAGAGAGAGACTTGGGATCATATGAGACTAAATGTTTTTTGTGACACCCATAAGACCAATTCTCAACCCTTGGATTAGATCTACAATTTGAACATTCATAATCACATAATTGTCATGAGATTTCTCAATAATTACAAAATTGTCACTGTGCAACTTTAAACCATTAGATCATTAGCTTATAAAGTTGATCAATGAACATAAATTGGTCTTACGGGTCTCACGAAAACCCCTTGGTCTCACGTGAATCCAACCATATATATATATATATATATATATAATCTTATAAACCAGACTTATCAAAAGACTTAAAAACAATTTTTATTGCACAAAGTAATATATATTTATGCACAAAGTTTTAAAAGTATTAAAAACAACTTATAATGTATTAAATACTACTATTTTATGCATTCAGTCTTAAAATCTCTTAATCTACAATTAAAATAACATATAGTACAAGTTACCAATGCACATTATTATATATTTTTTCCATGTTCCCACGATACTTTTGACACATTTCACTCATGCCTTCACCCTCTCATATCTCTATGTCTTATCCCCATCTCGTGAGATTCAAACTAATATTCACCATGAGTTATTAAAAGTTATCTCATTCATCTTCCATTCAATTACTCTAGAACTCTCGGTCTCGTTTTCGATCTCTTGATTCTTTACTCTTGTTGTAAATTGAACACATTTTTAAATATATTGGATTTTAAACTGTCATACAATATCTTTCATCGATAGGCTGTAATTGGAATCATAAATCTTATTTATTCAAATTGTATTAATATATAAAGACCAAGTGTAACTTATATTATTGTTAAATATTCTCTAATAAAACCAGTGAAACTTCAAAATCATTAAAATTCACGGCTCCCGCCGCATTGCACGGGTACACAACTAGTATATATATATATATATATATATATATAACCCATATATGTGTGTGAATAGAAATATTGTTTTTATTTTATTTATAAGAAAAAAACAAAGGAATAAGTAAAAGACTAAAGGGCCGTTTACCAAACACTTATTCGGTAAGCGTTTATCAATAAATTTAACACCACATCGTATGCAACAATCCGGTAAGCGCTTACCGAGGTAAGAGTCGTCGTCCTCACTTACCGGGTAAGACTCTTGGTCTTTGTCTCGCTTTTACCGGGTAATATTCTTAATCCTTATTATATTCATCCGGTTAGCTAACGTGACTTAGTAAGCGCTTACCCAGGTAAACATTTGGTAAACGACCCCTAAAATACCATTAATTTAACAGAGTTAACAGAAGGTTAGTTAAGGAGATTATGACTAAAACACATTAAGGGCGCGTTTGGGATTGCTTATTTGAAACAACTTATGCTTTTTTTTACATAAATACTTTACCAATTTATTGTAAGTTAGAATAATTTAACTTCTTCAAAAAACTTCTTATTACCGGTTTGATACCGGTATAAGTTGTTTATCCAAACACTAAAAAATGTTTATTACCGTACCACACCAAAATAAGTCAATAAATTATTTTTATAAGCAACCCCAAACACCCCTTAAATACTAAAAAATAAATTCATAATAAACATACCATAAAAATCTTAATTAAAAAAACATCAAACCATTAATTCACTTCTTTAATAATTATGTTTGAAGTTGGGTGGTAGTCAAAGTTATAGTTGTTGATGGCTGGTTTGTCTTCGCTCTGAAGTTTGACCACTAGAATCTTCCACGCCCATATTTTTTGAATTCATAATAACACGTTTTCATATTTGATTAACGGAATCAACGGTCAGGATTTGTCATTACTTTCCCAACTAAACAAATCTACCGCCAATATTTGTTTCTTGGTGAGGAAGACAACCAATAGACCCTTTTCAATATTTTATTTAAAATGTAAACGAAAATTTTAATTTCTTAAACAAATTACATGATAACAGTTTTTTTTTCCCGCCTATGTGTCCCTCAGTCCAGAAATGGACTCAGATTTTTTTTTCTCCAAACGATGGTATTATTTGACTATAAAAAAAAAATTATAGATTTTTTTTTTCAAACAATAATACCGTTTGACTATAAGAAATAAATATACATTTTTTTTTCAATCAATAACAATATTTGACTAAGAAAATGACACTAACAAAATTCGAACTTGGGTCTGGATGAAATAAAAGCCTTGCAAATCAACTCTACCAAATAAAACTTGTTCTTATTGTAGTTTCAGAATACATACGGTGACACACAACAGATTAATACGGTTGCATCCTTCACGAACCTAATTTTTTTTACCTTTGACGGAGGAATAATACGGTAGCACGTAACACCATAACTACCATGGTATGTCCGTCCATGCCTTAGTCGGTAGATAAGACAATGACTTTGTTCAAATATAAGACATGTTATGGTTTAATCACAGAACCTCTATTAACTTTAGTCACTGATTACGACAAAAAATGCTCTTATTGGTGTCATTAAAAGCGAGAATTAAAATTGCCGGTAATTTTGTCCAGATAACAAATTTTCATTTTTAGAACTTTTAATATTAATTAAATTATTAAAATATTTAATACCGGACAAGTTTTTAAATAATTTATTTATGAAACTTAGGGGTCGTTTAATAAACACTTACTTGGTAAGTACTTATCGGATAAATTTTCTTATCGGATGAACATGAGAAAGATCAAAAATCTTACCGGTTAAGAGCAATAAAAATGATGGAGAGTCTTACCCGGTAAGTGAGGATGCCGACTCTTACCCATTAAATTGTTGCATTCAACATGTTTTGATATATTATGCATCAAAATAAATCATAACATTGACTCCTATCGATAAACACTTACCGAATAAACAATTGAGAAAACTGCTCCTTATAAACATGTGAGAAATAAAATATATATTTTTTTGTTTTGGAGATTTGTTGGATGCGTCACTATTTGACACGTGTCCTCCGGGAACTTGGTTATACGCTCTGTAAAATGTTTTACCTCAGGTTACTTTTAACTGTCAAAGAGATCGAGAGTCATCGTAACAGTGTGGTTGACGACGTCGCTACGTTATTAGGATCAAGAACGACATCGTTTTCAAGGTATTTCTTCCTACCACCATTTCCTTTTTGTGTGCGAAGCTTTATCTTTGATGTCTCTATTGGGTTCTGTGGCCACGTTGATTCTGGTTTCTTGAGTCGTCCTCCAACGCTGCAGTCTTTTCTGTATGTTATCCGATTATATTTGAGTAATTTCAATTTACTGTTGATTGAGCACTTGATTGATACGTTGAATTTTGTTATTTGATTGCTGTTATATCATGTTAGTTTGCTCAATTGAGTGATTAATCAGTTGGTATGAACTAGGGCAAGTTAATCGATGGAATTCGTATATTTTTTTCATGTATAGTTTTTTATGATCGAGCTGTTATTGCTACATATGAATTATGATCGCGATAACCCCTGACCTCAGGGTTTGGGGTTTTGTGTTGATACTATTGGGCTGAAGTCCGTATGGATGATCATATGGATCTATTATGCTTATCGTTCTCCTTTTTGTTTGATGGGTTTACTGAAAGCTTATTGATTTGATTTATTTTGGTTGTTTTATATGAATATTTGGAGATATGAAAGTTCCAGAACTACTCGGTGCTTTTCTTCGGAGATTACTCCATGTTCCATACTATCTGATCACTGCAATTATTCTTTTGTTCAATGAACTTGCTAAGCTTTATTCAATCTTGAGACCCCTTGGGACCAACGGCCGATCAATGGGGTGGGGAAACATCTACAAGAGACGAATGAAGGTTTTCTCTTTGGCATTTCTCATCTATGTGGATTACAAGGTATCAAATAGTTGCCTATATTTCTATCCATATGATAATTTATGTGTTTAAAAAGAACACCAAGATCTCATGCTAACGATAGCCTATGCGCCCTACGAGCTATCTGTCTTTTGTTTCTTTGACGATCTTTTTTGTGTTATCTATTGTGTCTTCTTTTCTTTGATGTTGTGGGAATGTGTTGGCGGCTTAAAGGCCTTGCAGCAGAGGGAGAAAATAACAAAAAGGTCAAAACGAGACATTTTATGGGAGAAAGCTCATGAGCGCAATGCTAAACGTGTCCTTAAGTTAATTGTGGAGTTGGAAGGTTTGTGGGTGAAAATGGGACAATATTTATCGACTCGTGCTGATGTGCTTCCTAATGCCTACATACGCCTTCTAAAGCAATTACAAGACTCTCTTCCTCCTCGCAGTGTAGAAGAGGTATGTTTCTGGTTGTGGATCTTGTAATTGGTTCACTCTTTGGAAATCCCTCTACATCTGTGTTCCTTATAGACCGACCAAATGCCTATTACCTTGTGATCGATTTGAAGAATGAATATCTATAACATGTTGTATTGCCTAGTTTAAATTTGTACAAGTCATGTAGTAATTTTTGTTTCTTATATGAAATGCACTTAGATATTATCTTCATTAATAACATTGACCATAAATTACAACTTGACAGAATAGATGATCACGTTATTCTCCATATGTTATGTACATTCATTTGCGTTGGTCATGTTTTTCATTATTCTGCATGATGAGATCCTTAAGTTTTTGAGTTCTTAATTTAATCAATCCTCCTTTATTTGGACTGAAAAAATGGTGAAGACTCCTTTATTTTGAAACTCCGGGATTCAATCTAGTGGAAAGTTAGTTATCTTAGTCTCAGCTGATTTCAGGCATGATTTTGCTGCATTTTAGCTTTGGACGAGGCAAGTTGAGATGCCTATATATTTTTGCATGTAGTGCATTTTGAAGCCTATATATTTTTCTGGGTTTGCGTGTTGCTGCTGGATATAAGATTTGTGGATGTTAGATATGATGATCAGGGAGGAAGTTGTACTTTGTGGTACTAGAGTTGGGTCAAGGACCCTCCTCTGCAGATAGAAGGTGGGGACTTTTTGAGGCTGCTTTTGCTCGTAATCAAAAGAAATCAATACATTTGGGACTGAAGGTTGCAGTTATAATTGGAAAGAAAAGCTGCTCCTCTTTTGGGTCACCACTCTGTTCTTACTTCCTGTAGAACCTACTAGGTTATATAACTCAGTTCAGTTCCTCCATTAGGTTATGTTCCAGTTGACTCAAACTTGGCATGGAAAAATATCAAACATTCCGTTCTATTGTATATTCTTTTATATTGAGGAAAATGGGATGAAGAAAATGTCATTGTTATTTGTTTCGAAAGGAGATACGCACAAAGACTAAGCCAAGTCTTATGATAAGGTATGTTTGGCTAGATGAACCTACGCTTTCGGTTTTCTCTCTTTACTTGTTGAGGTAAAGAAAAGAGGATAAAGGTTTTATACTCTTTCAAGCCCTCAATAAATGTAGAACTTCTTTTGGTGTTCTCAAAGCTACTAAGCCTATTTGTACATGACAGCCACCATATCTGACCTATTGGGTTTTTTCCCTCCATTTGACGACATCAATCCTGCACAAAATTAGGTGACAATTGATTCTGGTTGTGTAATCATGTTGTGATAGACAAACCATTAAACTGGTGGTTGCTCTAACATCAAATGTATGAAACCTGAAGCAAGATGCCATAATGCTTATGACTTTTGAATGCAGCTGGCAGTTCAGAAATATCAAATATAGCACATGGCAAATAAATTGTTTGTGATTTGGATTGTAGCTATATTCGGAGGGAAGTTGGTTCTTATGCTTCTTAGTGATCTAACATGGATTGATAAGAGTGTCTTGTCCTATTGTATGGGTTAGGATAGAGAGTTCAATTGTTGGATCCCGAGTTCTGGTTATATGCACTAGTTTGAAGCACTTGAGAGAAGGGGGGGGGGGGGCGATGTGTGTGTCAGGGTTCAAATTTTTTAACCTTAAGTCGTTTTGAGACACTTCAAGTGAGGTTTCAATCAGATCTCTTGAGTTCTTCCTGGACAGGTCTAAGCACAATTTTCAGTAGGGATACTTGTCCTGACTGATTAGGGGAGATCCTTCAATAGGGGGGTCTTTGCTTTCCATCTTTCTAGGATGTTTCCTACTTTTGGAAGTGGCTTTATTTCATTGGATATTTTTAGCATTCCTATTTGTATACCTAAACAGTATATTTCTGGCCTATAGAGCGAGATTCCCAAAAAGTATGTAAATATTATTAATGTACAAGTTGATAACAAATTAGCCCCTGTAGGATACTGTGGCACCGTTAGGTTTGATCTCTCAAGTTGACTCCGAGATCTCAGATACACCAACTTTCTCTAAGTACCAAGACCTTTGCCTGGTGAATGTTGGTCTTCCTCATTGTGCTTCATTCTGTCATGTTGAGTTATGTTCATCTTAATACGCACAACTTGTGTAATATTTGTACTATCATGTCTATGTCAGCATCTGAATTCTATGAGAACAGCTTGAAATAATTGAAGGTTTTGCTAATCAGGTCTGTCAAACTATAGAGAAGCAGTTGGGCCAGTCAATGGACGATCTATTTACGAATTTTGTCAATGTACCTCTAGCAACTGCATCGGTAAGAACCTTTTTATGCTTATTGGTAATGTGATATTATCATCTTTTTGCAGAACGTGTTTATTCTGAATGTTGAATGGTTTGTATTACCTTGCAACCTGAGTATTCTTTTACTAACTACCTTACTGTTATTCTTTATTGCCTGTGACAAATTAGTATGGTAATATGCTGATACCAGAGACCTATTAAATATATATTCTTTTTCGGAAGACCTGATAAAAACATATATGTTTTGACAGTATGTTTTTTAAAAGGTTTGATGGAAGTATATCTACATATTAGTAATTCTTTTAATGGTTTTCGCTTTATATGTCAATCTATTGAATTCCATGTGCACATCTCCACTCTAGTTACAATACATATTCTTTTTAACCTAAGTATGTTCATGTATCAGAGTCTAGGCCTTGATGATTAGACCTTAGCTCCCACCAAAAAAAAGCCACAAACAGGCAGTCGGCCTGCTGCTCTCTGTCACCATAAACATGTTTGATTGCCCAGTTCAGAACTATAACTTGGACTTTCTAGTCATACCAGTCATCAACGTGATGTGTAATCGAACTTAAGTTACCGCTGTGGATTTGACCATAGAACTGTACATGGCCGTTTTTATACATTGCCTATGCTATCTAGTTGTCTTGCTGTCACCTCTCCTTTAGCTTCAACAATAGTCAACCTGCGGTTTCAGCTGCTCGTCTGGATCCATCAGCCTTTACACTGTGTTCTCCAGACCTTTTTTTACGAAGGAAAGGAAAGGAAAGGGAGGGAAAGGGGAGGAAAATAAAAAAAGATCCATGTTTTTGAAATTTAAGGGGAGAAAGAAAAGGAAATGCAAGGAAAATAAATGATAACCTTCCTCCCAAATGTGGGAGGAAAAGGAAGGAAAGAAAGTAAGAATCCTTTAAAAGAATAGTAAAATTACAAAACTACCCAACTTTTCATTTTTGAAGGCATATTTGTAAAAATAACGTCTTTCCTTTCCTTTCTCCCCGGTTCAAGAACATGAAAAGTTCTTTCCTTCCCTTCCTTTCTTTTCCAACGACACAAATAATAAATTTCCTTTCCTTGCCTTTCTTCTCTTCTCTTCCCAAATTTGAGAACACAACATTAGTTCTACTTAGATTTGGAGCCTGGATTCACTAAGTTCTCTCTTTCGAATCTGACTCTGGCGTTGATCGTCGGCTGTGATTGCATAATAGCTTGAACAGTTTCTGTTTTCATTGTCAATTTTTGGGTATACCTTTACAGGCAGATCTTTTTGGTTATTTTTATTTACTAAGACACTGCTTTTGCCTAGTTTGTGATTGTAGTTGGTTGGTTTTATGTCTACCCTCTATATCGGTTATGAAGATGATGTTGAGGTATCTTTATATGATTAATCACACTTTAGAGTGCAAACCTTTGGGGAGGGACCTGACACGATAAGAAGCTTGTAAGTGTGTATGTATCTTATTATGGAGGTCCACTGTTCATCATTGTCTTTCTTGGTGGTCATCGGTAACCTTGTTTAGTAGAAGAATACAAAACAAGCAGATTGAAACTATGAGTCAAGGTAGATCTCTGATTTGAGATGGTAGACTGGAACAATTGACTCCTATGCTGTTAGGTGTTTGTTTGGATAGATTGATATGTTTGTACCCTGTAGTCTACTAGACTTGTGTGCTTGCACTCAGACAGTATCACCAAAAAAAATAGGGTTAAGATACTGTAAGGTTGATTGCTATCCTTTCAAACTCATCTTGGACGAGTCATTACTAAGTGCCTGATATAGGTGCAAGTTACCTAGCTCTGTATAAGAGTTACTGATGTTTTCCATGGAACCATCATCAATAATTTCTTTCAAGTCTCTCCTTGAAAGATCCTTAGATCATAACAATGAGTCATAATTTTGTTTTCCATTTGGTTAAATCGTTAACATTCTTATGCACTGTTATTGCATAAGTAATTTTTGCAGATAGCTCAAGTGCACCGTGCAACTCTACATGATGGGCGGGAGGTGGTTGTTAAAGTCCAGCATGAGGGCATCAAAACTATAATCTTGGAGGTTGTTCATTCTGGAGCCTTGATTTTTCCTTTTCTTAGTTGAAAGGAATAGCCAGACTTGCAATCATCTAAAGATTACTTCTTTTACAGGACTTGAAGAATGCAAAATCAATAGTGGACTGGATAGCTTGGGCAGAACCCCAGTATGACTTCAACCCTATGATTGATGAATGGTGCAGGGAAGCGCCCAAAGAATTAGATTTTAACCATGAAGCTGGTATGATAGAGATATTTACTTTGGTTTATACTATTTGTTTTTGTAATACCTGTGTATCTGCTGTTAAATATCTTTGTTCTTAATGGTTTTTTGTTCTTGTAGAAAATACTAGAAAAGTCTCTAGAAATCTAGGCTGCAAAAAGGAAGGTCTTGACAGAAGACCTGAACATGTGGAAGTATTGATACCAGAAGTTATTCAGGTATCATCCTTCCTCGCCTTTTTCTATAGCTTGAGGCTGCAGCCAGTATGCATGGTGGCAGCTGAACATTACATTACCAAAATTTGGTAAACAATGTCCAGTGAGGTTGTGACATGACCACATGGCGTACTTTGGTGACGAAATATAATCTGAGTGCACTACCTTTGGACTAAAGGCTTCCTACTTGGGGATTATCAAGGTTCATTCTTAGTGGGCTAAATCTCTGGAAATAAAATTACTATTTCGGCAACTATTTCATTACTAGTTTCTAGGAAACATGATTTGTTGATAATCTGTCCGTCTACGTGTTTGATAATTAGATTGAGCATATAGCAGGGAGCTACTTGGATCACTTGTAGGGATCAGTCGAGAACTACGGATATGTTATTATATATGATAAATTGATAATCTGTCATCTGTCATATGAATGTGGTAGAGCCGTCTTTCATTGGATATGCCGGACGAAGTGAATTTCATCAGCTCCTTGCCTGTTCAGAAAATTTCTTTGATCTTAAAAGTTTTCCATTTGTTACTCTTGCTAATAACTTCTATTTCATGGCAGTCAACTGAGAAGGTCCTCGTTTTAGAGTATATGGATGGGGTACGTTTAAATGATACTCATGCCCTAGAAGAACTTGGTGTTGATAAACAGAAGCTTGTTGAAGAAATTACACGTGCATATGCACATCAAATTTATGTTGATGGATTTTTTAATGGAGATCCTCATCCGGGTACTCTATCTCCCCTTCCCACCTGTGATCTCCTACTCTCTTTTCCCTCCTTTCTGTCAATTTTGTACTTGATCTTTGTTACAAATGTGTTAGGTTTGTCTTCATTGTGAAGTCTTTTTTGACTACTTTCAGGTAATTTTCTTGTGAGTAGAGAACCTCCCCATCACCCAATTTTGCTTGATTTTGGGCTTACAAAGTTGCTGTCAAGCTCTGTGAAACATGCTTTAGCGAAAATGTTTCTGGCGGCCGCAGAGGTTTGCACATTCTATTTAAATAGTTGCTATATGATATATCAGGTGATTAGGGTGATCACTTTATAAATTTGTAAGGACATTTTTAACTTAGTGGAACAAATGTATAAAATACTTTCTAGATATAGGCCTTAGCAAATGTTTTTGGCATATAGTTTATATCATGTAAGTGATCGTGGTGAGAATATTGCAAGTTATATCAAGCTTCAAAGGGTTGATAAAGCACAAAGTATCTAGAACACTCCACATTTGCTTGTTCCTAGGTGTACAAGTCTTCTTTTTATAGCTGGTATATTGAATAAACACACACACACATACATATATATTTGTTTCTATATATAAATATATATAAAACTGTAATAGCAGTACTACACACGATTATCTGCATGCATAGTAGTCAAAACGATGTATTTTTTTTTCTGGATGTAAGGTTACGACCTATGGAAAATCGCACTGCAATATCCTCATAAATGTATATTGTATTATATATCGTATATATATGTGCATCGGCATGCATCAGAGTTCTGTTATAGAAGTTACTGACCTCATTATTGTTTGATCACAGAAAGTTGTTAATGCACGGACACTTGATATGTCAATGTATAATTAAATACATGCATATTGAAACATAAATTTACTCATATACATGGATATGTTATATGTATGTGTGTTACACATATACGTATCATGTTGAAAAATAGTATTCAAAGTAATGCATCACCACCACCGCCACAAATAGACATTGTTCATGCATTAGCAACTTTCTGTTATAATTGTTATTAACCTCAATATTATTCAATCTCATGATATTTCATTGTACTCTTAAAACTAAGTGGAAATATATGGAGGGAAAATAAAATAATGGAAATGAAAGCTACTTTTGACCCAAGTATTGTTGATCTCTACTTGAGTACAAAGTACATGTTCTTGGGGTTCCATTGAGGATACCTTATGCCTTCTTGAATTGACTGTACTTTAGAAGTGGGATGGTAAGAATTTTGTTTTCCTACCAGTTATACTTTATCTTCTGTTCATCTTATCCCATCCCCATATACCCCACATAAACATGCACAAATCTAAGTTACCAAATAAACGGTAGTAATGCATCACACTGCAGGATATTGGAAAAAAGATTATACAATGATCAACCCTTTTTCATTAGGTTTGTAGCTTCAATTTTAATGAATATGGAGTGATGTTCTATCAGTAGAAACTTGAAAAAGAAGTTGCAAAAACCTTTCTTGTTGTAGATGTGCAGATCAGGCTTTATTTTGACTATAGATGATTCGGTTATTGCAGGGTGATCATGTGGCTCTTTTGTCTGCATTCGCTGAAATGGGACTTAAGTTACGTCTGGACATGCCAGAGCAGGCTATGGAGGTAACAAATGTGTTCTTCCGTGCTACCACTCCAGCAACGGAAGCTCTTGTAAGTGCACTCAATGTCTAGCGGTTTTAGCCTAAGCGTCTCTAAGTTATGCAATACTGAGAATTCCTTTTGGGTTAGGAAAACATGAAATCATTGGCAGAGAAAAGAGCGAAAGGCATGAAAATTATACAGGAAAAGATGAAACTTGACAAGAAAGAAGTTAAACGCTTTAATCCTGTGAGTTGAACTTTTTTCCAACTCCTAGATTATCTATTGTGGTCCTTGATCCCACAATCATCGTTAAACTAATGGAATGGATCTTCCAGATTGATGCTTTTCCAGGAGACATTGTAATTTTCTCGAGGGTCCTTAATTTACTCAGAGGTTTCTATCAAATCCTTTAGACCTAGCCTTGTTGGGACAAAGAGGTGATTATTTAAGACTATTTTACGTTGTTTCAGGGCTTTCATCCACGATGAATGTTCGCATAAGCTATCTAAGTATCATGAGACCGTTTGCTGAATCTGTTTTGCAAAGGTGTGAATTTGTTTCAACTTAGTTGTGACAGTCACTGCTGATCCTCTGATCGTATTTGGTCATACCCTTGTTTTACTAGCTATTAATCTGTTTCAGCAACATGAGTAATGGACCATCGATGAATGCAAAATGGTTATGTGAGAGTCCAGTCCATTCTGATGTAGAGGAAAAGCTGAGGCATTTCTTGGTTGAATTAGGAAATGCTGATAGAATACTTGGAATCCAGGTGCACAACACTGCCCCTATGTAATCTCTTTACTATATAACCGGTTGGTAAGCTTAGATATTGCATTTCTGTTTGTCACTCAAAAACAAGAAAGAAGTGTACATTTTCTATTTTTCCCACGCTATTATGATCTACAATTCATGGTTTGGTTGTATACATCACAAATTTTGTTGCTGCAAATGTGGAGCACCCCGGGTTGGAGAGTGATCTTTAGGAGTCAGCTTCAAATTATAGCAAGAATGTTTGTGGTTGTATTTACACAAACTCTCATTATTTTGTTTCTTAGGTTTGTGCCTACAAAGACGGGCAAGTGATCATTGATACAGCAGCTGGGGCGCTGGGAAAATACGATCCTCGACCAGTTCAGCCTGATTCTTTGTTCCCTGTTTTCTCTGTGACTAAGGCCGTCACAGCAGGAATGTTACATTGGCTGGTTGATAAAGGGTATGTTCTAGTTTTTGCATGGAAGCCGATAATATTTCTTGTTTCTAAATTGCTATATATGGGTGTTTTACCTTGTTTTTCGTTTATCATTTTTTTGATTCCATGGTTTTGTTGTCATTTCTGGTTTGTCGATTTAAATAACATTGATATGAACATATGGAGGTTTCAATCTATTTGTATAACTATACTCCCTTTTGCACTTCTGTTGTGGTGCATGTGCTATCACTTGTGAATCAAAATGAAAAGGGTGGTATATAGACATCTAATTTTTTAGTAGACTTAGGTTGAGACTTCCACATGACTTTTTTTTTCCCACTGTTGGTAGACTTCATTAGACTGTTCTTATGGAAGGATTGTATTGGAAGCCAAAAATATATTTAACAACCAAAATGAAGCAGCCAAAACAGAAATTCAGATCACACCAATAGGAGTCTAAATAATTCTTATATCTAACAGATCCCCAAACAAGCAGCCAGAATTTCTCTAAGGGTCTAACTCAAACCTCAGAACAAGGTCTCAGCTCGGCCGCCAATGCTCTGTTTGAATGACCATGGGGGTGGTTGGTGGTGGGCCATTGTGGCTGAACATTTGCTTTGTCTGGCTAGTCTGACTCACTCTCCTTGTTTTGTTGGTTAGCCTCTTAGTTAGCTAGGTAGACCGCACTTAGCTGGTCTTGGTTTACTTTGCTGGGTTTGTGATTCTCAGCTCTACCCTTAAGCGTCTATATATCATATATTGTCTTGTTGTAGATGCCTTAATTGTGAAATGTCCCCTAAGTGTCTATTCTCCATGATGTGTCTATTTTCCAGCTCTACCCTTAATTGTGAAATGGAGAAATTCGTTACCCCCTCTAGTATTAAGGATAAATTGTCATTTAGTAATCATTTGGTCTACTCTTTGCATCTTATGGAGGAAGAGAAATTCTCTGGTCTTCGAAAGAGATGCTCGGGTCGACATCCGGGAGATATTTTTCAAAATTCAGTCAACCTCCTTTCTTTGGATCTCGAACAGGATTAAGAGCAACAAACCTTCTTGGGTGGATTGGTTGTGTGGATCTAATTGGCAGTCTTAATGTCCCTCTAGCTCGTGTTTTGGTCCTATGCTTTTGTTTTGCATCGTTTGCTCTTTCTGGTTTCTTGTACTGGTTTGTTGTTCTTCCTTGCATTCTGCCCCTTGCAGAATGTGGAACTCTCCAGTGCTTTGTTTTGGATTCTTCCCTGTTCTTAATATTATTGCCTTTCAGAAATTAAAAAGTGTAATAATTAAACATTTCTAAAACTATGTGCTTGGAATGGTATTTTATTAGCACATGCTGCCATGCTTTAATCCTATGAATTTCTTTATATCATTTATTCTCTTGTTGTAGATGCTTTCAAATATGACTCTCATAAATGTATTCATAATTCTATGTATCTTATTCGCTTTCTCAATACTAAATGACTGGGCACATAGTTTAATGAAAATATTTGATGATCAATCAAATAACTATAGTACCCCTTGGTGATGAAATAGAGGAATTTTGTGAACCAAAACCAAAACCAAAACCAATACCATCAGTATTCTGTAATTTACTAATGACAAATATGTAATCTTGCATCAGAACTTTTCCAGTGATTACCAACGATCAGATATGTAATCTTGCATCAAAATTTTCTAACGAAGGAATGTCATGTTTATTTGAGACTTTAATATTTGGATTGGGGGAGTAATTTTTTTCATGCCTCTTAAAAATGAAATGGCAAGCATCTTCTTCGATTGTATATTTTTAACACCTACAAGGGGAGCTATTTGGTATTATGTCATGGAAGGAAATATAATAACATATATTTTCATTGTAGGAAATTGAAGCTTGACGAAAATGTTTCAAATATTTGGCCGGAGTTTGGTACAAATGGAAAAGATCAAATAAAGGTTCTGCTGATCCCAATGCTTTTTTCTTCTCTTCATCTTGTTATCTTCATAATCTGTATTCAGTATCACAAACATTAGTGACACAAATTAGGCAAGGTCAAAGGGTGGAAGTGTCATCTGGAGCCAATCTCTTATTTGGTCGCTTTCAATTATATATCTTCTTTATAACTTCATAGTTATGCATCTTTCCTTTCTTCCACAGGTACATCATGTACTTAATCATACATCTGGTCTACATAATGCTCTTGCCAACATTTATCAAGAAGATCCTATGTTGTTTTGTGATTGGGATGAGTGTCTAAAACGCATTACTTTGGTCGCTCCAGAGACTGAACCTGGTCGTGAACAGTTATATCATTATCTTTCATATGGTTGGCTAAGTGGTGGGATCATTGAGGTACCGTTACATTAGACGCTTCTATATATATATATATATATGTATATATATTTTCCATGGTACCCGGAACCACACCTGAGGAGGTGAAACTCTTGCCTCTCATTGATGCACCTGGGGCAATATATCACAAGTTCTGGATCAGAACTTATGACCTAACTGCTTGACTAAGGGGCTGTTTACTACCTGCTTACCAGCGCTTACCCAGCAGAGATGTTTACCAAACCTCTCTTACTGGTCCATGATGCTGACTTGGTAAGCTAAGGAAAGTGTTTAGTGCTGACACAGATTGCATCCTTACCCAGTTAGCTTTTGCCCAATTTGTGTTGGTAAACGGCTCCTAAGCCTACTTGGGCTGTTTGGCAATACCTCTTCTAAGGCCATGTTTGGCAACCACAAGCTAGCATATTTCTTTGAGCTTGTTGAAGAAACTCCATTTTCCTAGCCATAAGCTAGCTGTGTAGAAGGCTACTTCAAGTAGCGTTTCAATAAGCTCTAGAGGTTTCTTCCCTCTTTTTACTATTAACCTAGATATCCAACCCGCTATGCGAGACGACTAATCCCAGGGCTACCTTGGCGACCACCTGCTTTGCGGGTAGCCTGGAGTCACCGCATTTGAACCTCCATGGTCACAAGGGGATTTTTATTCCTCCTTGGATTTGAACCTGGGACCTGCAGACACCTTTGACCTTTGGAGCCAAACTCAAACCAATCATGCACCACCCTTGTGGTTTCTTCCCTCTTTTTTCCAATTATGCTCCTCGAATTTTTTCAATTAATTTTATAACGTTCTTTTGGTCATTTTATATTTATCATCTAGCTCATAAACTACTTTTTTACCGAACATGACTAATTTATCAGCTAGTTTATCGGCCAACAACTAGCTTTTCAGTTAGTTTGCCAAATATAGTCTTGTGTGGGTTACAAGTGTTTTGACTCTTTCACAAACACACAGTTGCTGATATCTATTACTAGAAAGGATAGAGCTGAGAAATGAATATGCTTAAATTGTACATCTATGCCAAAACCAAACCCAACCAAAAACACCTGGTATGTCGCAATCGGAAGTAGCTCGGGTGGTGCAATGTATGCAAACTTGACCTTTACTGCAAAGTGTAGAGCAACTGTTTCCATGAAAAAATTGTACATCTATGCCACGTTTATAATAGAAATGACAATTTTGATAATATTCTTCTAGGAAAGAGTTCATTTTGTACGTTAATGCTTGCCAGTAAAATTTCGTAGGGTTACTATGAGATCCCATGACAACTTTCTGTGTTTTGCTTGTCTTGAATGGGAATGGTGACGTATATTCATTTTTTTCAATGATGTATATGTTCTTGAATGTGCAGCATGCATCTGGGAAGAAGTTTCAAGATGTCCTTGAGGAAGCTTTTGTTCGCCCACTTAATGTTGAGGGCGAGCTTTATATAGGGATTCCTCCTGGTATGATTCACTGAAAACTTTTCCAAAAAACTTTAGTTGATTTCGAATATCTTATTGTGCAAGTTCTACTTCACTACATGGTTAGACATATATTATAGGATGGTGGTCAAAGGAAACCAAACCAAAATGATCTCAGTCCCCTGAGTCAAAGGGAGAGCTACAACAGAGGCAGGGTCTGAGGGGTAGAATGTATGTAAATCTTGTTTTCCCCCCGTAGAGAAGCTATTTCTGTGAAGACCCCTGGTTGCCAAACGGAAATTAAAAGGAAACACGTGAGGAGGGTAATCATAGGAGCACCGCTAAAAAATGTTTAGCACCCCTTTATACATCAAATGAATTTTAACATACACATAGGAAAGACCACCATCCACCAATCGGAAACCACTGCAGGGAAGTAAGCATTTATATGGGGAAAAATAAAAAAGAAAAATAAAATCTCAGTATCAAAAGTAGCCTGTTTTATTCCTTACTTTCACATAGTAAATAATCTCTCTTCTTCTTTACCTGAGCTTGTTTAAAAAGAAAAAAGAAAAATAGAATGTACCATTGTTTAAAGAGAACCATCCACTCTAAAGTTCCTATATCAAAACTTATACCAGATTTTATTATCTGCCACGTGGTTCCAACCTGTGATATCTGACTCTGGCAACTTTCATCACCTCCTTATTGATGATTTCTGCGTATAATCATTATATGAATAATTAGAACTGATGGAGAAAGTTAATTTAGGAACCATAAATACTATTCACGATGAATATACATAAATATTCATGAATATCGTGCATTTCATTGTTCATGATATTCATCATGAATAGTTGATTCCACGATTGTCAAGGAAGCCTAGTACCATTTACATATTGTAGTTGTCTGCTAATTTAGTTGGGTCTTTTAGTTAAATGTCCTTTGGACAGTTTTTTTTTATTTATAAATCAAATGATCTTCTGACAAGCTTAAGAACGACACTACTTAACTGAAGAACGCCTAAAAACCTGTCAGAAGGTCATTTAGCTAAATAACCGTAGTTCTATAAGAAAATTGTTTTATGCTCCCTTCAGGTGTGGAATCTCGTCTTGCAACTCTTACGCTAGATACGAGTGAGCTCAGTCGCTTTTCCAGCCCTTCCACAGGACCAGGCGTCTCCTCCACCCTGCCTTCTTCATTCTCGTTCGACACGATTACAGGCCTTGCTCCCGTATTCAACACCCTAAATGTCCGCCGTGCCATACTACCTGCCGCCAATGGACACTTCTCGGCTCGTGCATTGGCCCGCTACTATGCCGCCCTCGTGGATGGCGGCATGGTCCCACCTCGCCACTCTCCTTCTTCCCTGCCGCCACTTGGAAGCCACCCTCACCACCCTTCATTCCCTTCCAAAAAAACCTCCAAGAAAGATGGAAACAAGAAAGATTCAAACAATTCTAACTCCAATACCGACAGTTACACCACAAATCCCAAATCCGATCTTTACATCAGAATCCCAGAAACTGACAACACAAGTGAAGATTCCAACGCTAAAATCTTTACCAACCCAAAACCAAAAATTCATGACGCTTTCTTGGGAAGTGGAGATTATAAGGATTTAATCCTCCCAAATGGGAAATTTGGGCTCGGGTTTAGGAGGGTTAAAACAACCGATGGTTCTGTAATCGGGTTTGGTCACTCCGGTATGGGTGGATCTACAGGGTACTGTGATATAAACAACAGGTTTGCTATTACTGTGACTCTAAACAAGTTGTCGTTCGGCAGTTTGACGGCGGAGATAATCCGGTTTGTTTGCTCGGAACTTAATCTTCCTGTACCAGAAGACTATGCAGGATCTAGGAAGTTCCTTGAGAAGCCAGTGATCAATTAAAGGAGGTTTGATCTAAACCTGCTCATATACATATACTTGAGCGATATTTGACGTAAACATTATCATACGTGTATCTCTGAAACAATTTTGAGTTGAAACTGCTTAACGAACTATAGATTTGTTGTAAATCGAACGTATAAAGCTATATTCTCTTCACTCATCTGCGTGTTACTTCTGTTACCATTGTTCTTCTTGTCGTTGTGATCGATATGATTGCAGTTGTTAGGATGTTGGAGATGTAAAAGCACATTATATCGAGGTTTTAGTTCATCTTTCTAGTATTTTTGGCAAGGTTCGTATAGAATACTTAAATCGTAGGGAAAATCACCAAACTAGCCATTTTTTTTTGTAAATTATCAGAAATTGCCTTGGCAAGTTTGTGTGATTTAATTTTTCAAACATTTTCTATCAGATGGTGGGTTATATCTTAGCCGAAAAAGCAGGAGATTTTGCTTCATTTGCTCATATTGAGATTTGGTTAGCTAATTTGCGGATTTATCGGCTATTTCATGATATTATGTAAAAACGGAAAATTTGGTGAAATTGTTTAGGCAATGTTGGGTAGTTTGGTGATTTTCCTTAAACCATATCAATCCATGTTAGGCCTTGAGTGCTACTCAATGACAAATAACGGTTAGGCCTTAGGGCTCCTTCCTATAGGTCGTCAATTTGAGCCTTTTCAAGGTCACTGTTTCCTGGATGTTATCTTGAGGGATCCATGGGACTAGTTTGACGTGTGCGTAAGCTGTCTCGGACAGCTAAAGTTACCCTGAAAAATCATTGTCGATTCATGGATCTTGCATACATGCCCAATCACCATCTCTGATTGTATCCTCTTTTATATTATTTGTAGATTGCCTTCTTACTTTAAACAAGGAGGAACTTGATGCCCTACTTGATCTATAAAGATTTAGGGGCCGTTACGGACACTTAGTGTGCAAGCACTTATCGGGTGTCCCTTACTTACCGAGTGAGTATGGCAAGGCTCAAGCAAATCTTATCTGGTAAGAGGCATATCAAGGATTGAACATCTTACCCGGTAACCAAGGGGAAAAAACTCTTACCCGACACTTATTGGGTAAAATATGCTCTCCAACAATCCATTTTGATGTTACCCGATAAGTTTAAGTGATGGTAATGATTCTTATCGGTAAGCGCTTAGTCTTTGTTGTCAATGAATGAAAAAACTAGGAAATGTTCATACAAATGCTAATTGCATTACGGAGAAATCCAAAATTTCGTTACTTGACACTTGGAAGAAGAGAAAAACTCAAAAATCTGTATTTTAACATAGTTGTTAAAGATGAAAAGATGTCGAAGAACCATTACTGATGATAATCATTAGCAAAATAACCACCAATGATTGTATCGATATTCTTTATAAACAAATGTACAACCATATGCACGTGAACAAGCACTAGAGCAATAACGACTTATGCAATAGAAACAATAATGATTGCTCTAGATATGTTAATTTCGACATAGGGTCTAACATTTTACCCTTATTATCCATCCACACACATCATATTTCAAAACTAGTTTCAAACTATACTACATGATTCAAATCATACAAGTATTACAATACAACTAGGGGAAAAAACCCGAAAGATAACATAAACGGGAAAGCTTACGAGAGGATTCCGAGGCAACAAACCCTTTTTTTTATTTTTTATGTTCAAATGGTACCAAGATTCCTAAGGCCATATATCAGTTACGCAGCTTCCAGCTTCGCTGTTTATACCAGTCTTAACGTTACCATTAAAGATGTCGGGATTAGCACCTAGTCCAACCATCACGTGTTGACCTGGAACGGATAGGCCATGATCATCCCCGAGTACGGTTATGGTGGGTGAGACGTTGCCCATTCTAGGCATGTTTTGATTGTTGAACAGTTGGGGAGTGGTTAAATGGTTCTGAAGGAGGTGGCTAAGGCTAGATGTTAATGAGCCCCTAGCTACCATATCTTCAGCCAACTTCACCTGCAACCGATGAAAACAGTCTCTTAGCAACATTGGTAGAACCATGTCTAACTAATTAGATATATAACGAAATCACACCAACACTGATGCACCTGATCCCATTAACGACCCTGTTATTAGACACTCAAAAAGATGGAAACAATGAGTTCATCTGTATGGTATATGTACGTGTGCATGTGCATACGATACAGATGAAGGATTATTAGGGTGTTCCTCAGTTTTTCACATTTTTGCGGTTTCCCTAGAACTTGACCCTATATAATACACGTGTTGAGCTGTGGGCAGTTCACTGGTTCCTAATCAATTTTGGGTTCCTATTGGAATTTTCCTCTATGTGTGTGTGTGTGTGTATAAGAGTAGAACCTTATCAGCATAGAACGGAAATGCTCTCTAATATTGAACTGAACTTCTTATCTTCATGGTTACGAAAGAAGATACCTTAGCTCTCAAGGCTTCCACATCCGACTTGAGAACTCGATTGTTGGTCGAAGCATCTTTGAATTGTTGGCTAGCATTCGTGAGTTGCTTGAACAACGTTGAGTACTCTCCTCGCAGTTGTTCCACCTGAGAAACAGATACTTGGGTTAACCAAACCTCTCAAACACTCACTGTTCTCTTTAGGGTGTTTCCTTCTTTCAGTTTCTGTTTCCAAACCGGTTCTCAATGTTAAGAAAATTCAAGGATATGTAGACCACCATTGTTAGTAGATACGTACTTGTTGCTCAAGCTCTGTTAAATGTGCTTGTTTTCTTTTTCTTGACCGCCTAGCCGACTCCCTGTTTGACACCATCCTGAAATCATAGGCAGCAATATTATAGGACTAAGAGGTGCTTACCCGGTAAGAAGGGATGTTGCTTACCATCACACCCCTACCCACAAATATGATGGTCGAGATGCTGACCCATTAAGGAAGGGGTTGCTGTCTGACTTGGTCAGTGCTTCGGTCAACGCCTACCCAGACACTTGGTAAACAATCATATTCAGTCTGCGCACCCTTACTCAGTTAGTGCTTACCCGATTTGTGTAGGTAAATGACCCCTAACTAACCAACTAACTAACTAACTAACCAACTAACTTTCCTTTCAAGCTTCATGAAACTTTTAACAAAACTCTTTACCTTTTAATCCGTTTAACGTCCATCTGGTCGGTGCTCTGTTCACATTGACCAGCTTCAATCTCTGTATCATCATCGTCTGATTGTTCATCATCGCTGGTTGCCCCGATCACATGGTTATCCCTCCTTTTTGGTTTAGTACCCGAAGTTGGACTATCAGCTGGCCAAACATGAACTTATCACCAACGACCCATGTAAAATATAAACTAAAAGTACCTAAAACTCTGTTTATTATGTGTAATTATGGTTATTCTTAGTACTAATGAAAGCCCATATAACTTTGGTTCTGTGAAACTGAAGTCGAAAGAAGTATATGCATACACAAACAGATGAAGTGAGTTGGTGTACCACATATTGAGGATTGGGAATCCATGGTCATCGTGACACCGGAGTTCTTTGGGGTGTGATTTTGGGACCAGAGAGGGTTCCCAGTCATTCCACCACAACTTTGAAACGCATTTGCATTATTCTGTAATCCAAACAGTTAACAGATTAATTGGTTGAAGAAGAAGATGAATGCAGAGCTGAATGAAACCCATGAACTAGCATGACAGAATTTCAATCTAGCACTTGATTCTAATAGACCTTCAGAAAGATTTTGAGGCATTCTTATGCTAGGCAGAGGCGTTCTTAAATCAGTGATATCCCCAGAAGGAAGATGCCATCAACCTTTCCCCCCTAGAAGGTCATGGTTTCAAATCCTATCTACGATCGACCAACTGCATTAATCCTAATACTAACATTCTTGCCAACCATTTTATGAAAAGCAAACACAAGTTTCAAGACTGAAAAAACAAGCACAACTAGAAGAAAATCTTCATCTTACAACACATGGGTAGTTTTTCTGGACAAAAATGGCTATGAATCTCAAATTTATTGAGAGAGAGAGAAAATAGGATTATGGATGGAACAAACGTTAAATCTTTAAATTGAACTTGTTAAAAGATTATCTCATTCTTCGAATTCATCTTCAAATCTATTCTTTAATGAACTACACGCCAGATCCATAAAAGGGTGATCTTAATGGTAATAACAACCATTGTTAGCAAGCTTTATGTTCATCTTTATCAGACTCTAATCTATGGTTTGATGCTTATTTCTAGATGAAAAAAGGAATTCCAGTGGACTCATTCCAGTTCAGGTGTTGCCAAAACAACCACATGCTTACAAGTACCAAGTACTGATTGACTATGATATTAATGAAATAGAGAAATGAACAACAGATTAGGTATAGTTTGGGGCCTACATACCGACCATCTTCTACTTGATCCTACACACTGATTCGAGAATCTTACGTCGACAAACGAATAATATATTCAACAATTCTCAAAAACTGCTGTGTAGAGTAAGAAATCGAACCGGATTCCTGTAGTGAACATCGAGATCGGGGGAACAACGGTGGGCGCCATAGCTCTTACGATCGTCATTACCAAAAACGACACTATCAGCGGCGGAGAAAATCCCTCCGGCAGGCGAATGATTCCGGTGATCAGCATCGGATTGCTTCAAGAACTCCTCGATATCGTATTCAGAAAAGGTTCTACACATAGAAGAATCATTGAATGGTTCTTCCTTCTTGCTATGATTGAACTCCATGAGAATGTATGTGTGGATGGTGATGGCATATAGTATGCTATATGATACAATGAATCATATATATTGAAAAAAAAAAGGTTGGATCTTTACAGTTTCTTCACCTCTAAGGATTTGAAGAGATTGGGGGAAGGAAGAATATGAAAGCAAAGAGAAAAGAAAAAGGTAGGAAGAAGACAAAGCTTCAACTGGCTTTGTTAAAAGCTTCAACAGTGTGTGTAGTGTGTGTATGTGTGAGAGAGAGGAGAAGTCTGAATCAAACACTCCATTTTTTAAATCTTTGATACCTTATAAAATAACTAATTTTATAACATCTTTTTTTTATTATTAACTTGGATATCTAACTTGCTATTGAGCCGACTAATCTTATGTCAACCACACTCCTCACGGATAATTCGGAGTCATCGTATTTGAACCCCGTGACCATAAGGGAATTTTTATTCCTTCTTGGGACCTCCAGATACTTTTAACCTTTGGAGTCTAAGCTCAAACTGATCAGACACCATCTTTGTGGTTATCTTTTTGTATGTTATCAAGATTAGCTTACGTACACCTCAATTAAATTAGGGTCTTAAAAATAGTCATGAAAATCCTTAGTGGTTTATCAGGTGTCGACCTTTGAAAAGAAATGGAGTATATATAACTGATGAGTAGATATGTAATTATATAAATATTTTCAATTTATATCCAACAATACTTTTTTTTCCTTTTTCATTCCTTAAAAGAAACACGAGAACGGAGGACTTTTTCCTTTTCCTCTACTTTCCTTCCTCTTTCCTTTGTAGAAAAAGAACTCGAGAATACAGCGTTACAGTATTTGAAACTGACGTTAAAGTTCGAACTCATCGTATATTCATCGTCGACTATTGAGACGGTTATGACACTTTTTCAGTATTTAAGTGGGGAGACGATTGAAAAGTTGTATGCAATTGATAGAATTATAAAGGTATAAGTATTATATCAATACATTATTTTGTTGAAGTTATATAATTGAAAAAGTTACAAGAGTTCAGGAACTGATTTATTTGTTTTTGTTAAGTTATTTATAATGTTGGTAATAAACAATTAATTGGTTACTGACTCAAGGGATTTAGTTAAGATTTTCATCTTCTATTAGTTCGAATGCAAATGCTTTTAAAGCACTTGTAATCATTTTTTTCCGATATAGAGGGGGCGGCCTCTCCAATCAAGAAAAAAAGAAAGTAAAGATAATTTTTTTGGATTTTTTGAACTTTTTGTAAAAGCAGGAAGCAAAACCAAGGAAAGCACTCGGAAGGAAGTTAAACCGAAACAACTACCAGAAAGGAGCAAAGCTTAGAAAGGAAGAGGAGAAGAAAGAAAGGGGGGGGGGGGGAGAAGAAAGGAACCAACCACTAGGGAAGATTCCAGACAATTTTAGCACATACAACGTTAGGAAAGACTTCATGGTAAGGCTAATCATCCTGGACCGAACATCATCAAAAATAGTCTTGACCACCATGTCAAATGATCTTCTCTTATTCTTGAAAATGCGATTATTCATTTCCTGCCAGAGGTGGTAGACGGTCCCAACAAGCACTAAACGTTGAACGATAGACCAAACGGTCTTGCCTTTGGTGGCTTGCTGAAACATACAAATAATATCGGTCCACTTATCTGGGATAAGAGGGAGGTTCAGCTTGGGCTTAAGCCCATTCCAAACCTGATTAGGAAACAAACACTCAAAGAATAGGTGCTGATGAGAATCAGGTCCGTTAAGACATAAAGCACAAGACATGTTAGAATAGGCCTCCCAGAACCGAAGCTTGTCATGCGTCTTCAGACGCTGTTTGAGGGCGACCCAAAGCATGTCTGGGGATGTTTTGAGAGAACCAGACCATGTGATGCCATTCGACATCTGGCTCATTGGGTCGGATGGAGAGCCAGACTTCATGGACAGAGAAAGAAGTGAGGCGACCATCCCTTTTTCTCCAAAGGAGTTTATCAGGGACAGAAGGGGAAAGGACATGAGGGAAATAATCATGAAAAAGGGGATTGGGATTGTCCCGTAGGTGGGGACAAGCCCAGTTTCCCTGATAGATAATATCCTTAACACAGGCTTTGAGGGAAAAGTTAGCATTGAGGATAGTACGGGGAGAGATATGTCTGCAGAGGGGGACAACATGATGCCAGTTATCAAACCATGCAGACGTGGAAGTGCCATCACCAATCTGGGAGACAATGAAGTCTCGTATCTTATCCCACATGCCCATGATCTTCCTCCAACCCCAACCGACATCGCTGCGAATCAGGGCATCCTAAAAATTTCGGTCTTTAAGCCTATAGGAGTGGATCCATTTAAGCCATAGAGAGTCCTTATTAGTAAGGATTCTCTAAGTGTGGGATGCTATAAGGGAAATATTCCAGCTGGTTAGACTCTTAATACCAAGTCCGCCTTGAGTTTTTGGTAGGCAGACGGTCTTCCAAGAGACCTTCGCTTCCCTCTTTTAAGCTCACCATGGCACCACAGGAAACCCCGCATAAGCTGCTCAATCTCCTTAGAAATGGCAACAGGGAGAACGAAGATCGAGGCCTAGTAGATTTGCATAGAAGAAAGGACCGAGAGAATGAGCTGCAACCTACCGGCGAAAGAGAGAGATTTGTTTTTCCAGTCATTCAGTCTGGATTTAACCTTGTCGACGAGACCCTTACAGTTATTGTAACCTTGTAACCATTAAGGTTCATTTATGATGACTCCATGTCATTCTGTGGTGGTCAAAGGAATTAGTGGGCACACATGAGCCGACATCTACGGTTATCTAAAAAAAGTACATACAAATAAATTATACATCAACTAATTTTTATATTTATTTATATCAAGTATTGTACTAATAATAAAATACATATTTTTTTAATGATATTTATGAAGAGGAATAGTGGTTTGCAATGTCATTCAACACTTTATTTGTGTAGATTGTCATTTTCAAAAGTTAAAATAAAGCTATTTAACTTAACATTTACCTATTTTTCATTTAAATTTTATTATAGCTTTTTAAATTCTCCACTATGTGCCATGCCCTTAAATTTTCAATTATTTAAATATATTTTAGTTGATTTGTATCACTTATAATTATTATATAATGCAAAATAACACTAAACAACATTTAGAGGCAATCTGATCATTTTAACAGTTTTGTCCGGTTCTGTTTAGACGTACCAAACATAGAACAGGCGATTTAGTCCTATCCAGTCCAGTTCAATATCCAATTCTGTCTGCGTACCAAACGCTACCTAAAAGTATGAAACCCGCCCAACCAATGGATTTAGATTTTATTTTACTTGGAAAATAATATTTCTGTTTTCACCACTTTCTTCCCACCCAAACATTATATTCACACACACTAAAATTAATCAGATTTTTTGTTATTTATATATATTATAACAAGTTTATTTTGTCTTATATTAGTATATATTTTAAAGGAAAAAAACGTCTGAGTTAACGTTCAACGGTGAATGTAGGATTTTTATCAAGTGGATGCATCTTTAAGGTAGATCAAATGTAAGTAAAGTCATCTAATGTGTTTTTAGCCGAATTCCACCGTTCCAAATATTATCTTAATTTCTTTCGGTAGATTTCGTTGGACTGTTTCCTTTTCTTTTATATTGGTTTTGAAAGACTTTTTTTGGGTTACTTCGAGGGATTTTATGCTCTTTTATTGATTTCGAGGAACTTTTTCGGTTTTTGGTTGATATTCCTTGTGTTTTATAATATCTCGGAGCATCTATCAAAGTTTAGCAGATGCATGTTTCATTACCAAAAAAAAATATTATACTTGTGAAAATCGGTTAAACGGGTGCATGAAACCCCACGCTGAATATATCCCTGCTAACATTATATTGGTGTTATAATCACACTAACGCTGAAATCAATCAATTTTTTTTTGCAGTTCGTATCTTCAAAACAAACCGAATCAAGAAGTAATTTTTTTTATTAACCTGAATATCCAACCCGCTATGCGAGCCGACTAATCCCAGGGCGACCACCTGCTTTGCAGATAGCCCGAAGTCACCGCATTTGAACATCCGTGGCCACAAGGGGATTTTTATTCCTCCTTAGATTTGAACCTGAGACCTCCTGGGACTTTTGACCTTTGGATCCAAGCTCAAACTAATCAGGCACCACCTTTATGGCTATCAAGAAGTAATATTGTTAACCATTCAACTTGTATCTTCAGAAAAACTAAACTATACTTTAAATTTAAAGACTTTAAAAGTTGGGATTTAGGTCTAAACCTAATCCTAAAAAGTTATAGCTTTTAAGATTCCGTTAAACCCCATAATCCTATCGGAGCCTTTGTTAAGACTAGTTTAGGCCCGATTGCAACAAAGCTCGATTAGAATTATTGGGTCTTGTTTTTAAGACCGCTTTGTTTGGTCTTTTTAATTTTAAGCTTTTAATCGTTTTATTTTAAAGTTAATACCATCGTCAAGTGTAGATCCATCGTAGTTTCTAAATTTTGAGATCAGTTCTTATTGACACTGAATTTTGTTTTCATGAATGGTTATGGGAGGGTTCGAGATTGGACATGGTCTTTGCATCGAGAATGAAGTAGGGGTCGATGTTGTTTCTTACAATCAACCGAACCTAGATATATTCTAGTGACCAAGGGTGTAAAGGGGGCTAATTGGTTGGCTGTCGCTCAGAACCAAGTCCTAAGAACCATCTTAGATCAACAAACGAAGTCCATGAGGACACAAAATACCCTCACTACAAGACAACGTCTTGTTTGATGCGATCAATATAATTTAACACATTTGATTTTCATGGGAATGGAAGTTAGATGATTAAACATGGTTTTGTAACGGTCGGTAGTGGATCCAGGAATTTTTATGAACGGGTGCACCTTTAAGGTCTATAAAGTCACAGAGAAAAGTCAACACGGTTTGACCAGGGGAAGATTCAATTGTGTCGATTTGATACAATATATTTTCATAAATGAAACCGACCTTGACTTTTTGAGCAAGACGCAACACTACGTCTTACACTTGGTGTGTTCTCGGCCGAATTCCACCTTTACGAGGGATTTTTTGATCGATTATGTAACCGTCAACAAATGCAACAACAAAATATAATTTTATAAATTTCTTACATAAATATGTTTGATGACATCATGGACAGAGGAATAATAATCTCAAAGAAGGCAAGTAGTGGTCCAACCATTCCGGCAACCTACTCTCCTATTTTAAGTTTTGTTTTAAAAACATATAAAAGCACATTTCAAGATTACGACAGGATAATCGAGCGGGTGTGAACCCCGTACTCTACGAGTAGGTCCGCCCCTGGTAACGGTGGATACACATCTAGCAAAGATACATGGATGGCTGTCAATGTTGGTTATCTCGGGAGACTATTCTAGAGTTCTTTTTGCCTAATACGAAAAGACTAAAAAGTGTCGCAATTAAAATAACAAATAAAAGATGTATAAATTTCACATTTTTTTTTGTTAAATAAAATAAATGATACGATCAGTAGACATAAAACCAAAATCACAAATAACAAAACATGAACATAGATCATATAAAATGACGTCTTCATGCATTTCTTAAAGTTAATTGGTAGATTAATCTACCTTCTTGCAACTCGACCTGACATTGCTTTTGCAGTTCATTGTATAAGTCAATTTATGCGCTCACTTCGTTAGTCTCATTTTATTGGCATTAAGAGTTCTCAGATACTTGAAGTCTTCACCAAGAAAGGGTGTTAGTTTTACAAGGTCAGAATTTTTCCATTTGTCTGCTTTTGTTAATGCTAACTAGGATAAGTGTCTTTCTTCTAGATGATTTGTTACTGGTTACCGTTTATTTCTAGAAAATTCTATGGTTTCTTGGGAAAGTAAGAAATAGAATACGGTTTCTCGTTCTTCTGCTGAGTCAGAATATAGAGGAATAACTTATGCAACATATGAAATAATTTGGGTTCTTCAAATTTTAACAGACTTGAGAATTAAAGATTTACTTCCTGTAAATCTATATTGTGACAACAAATCTGTAATAGAAATTGCTTATAATCTTGTTTTTCATGAATGCACTAAACATATAGAAATTGATATCCATCAAGTTTGAGAAAAAATTACTATGGGCGTGTTAAAAATTGTAAAAAATCTTCTCTACTGAACAACCTGCTGATATTTTCATGAAGTCTCTTGGTATATGCCAACATAATTACTTATGCTCAAAATTGAAGTTGATTGACTTGTTTAATGTCAAGATTGAGGGGGGATGTTAAATATAGCTTTTATTCTTATCCAATCTTGTCATTTATGGACGTTAGTTTTGTATTTTAGATTGTTGGCTTAAAAGGGTTGATTCTATAAAGATGCAAAACAAGGTGGGTCGTTTGAAGCTGTCAAAGTTCTAGAAGAGTAGCAAAGCATTTGTGGATAAACTTGAAGGGTCAAACTATATATATATATATATATATATATATATATATAGGGTTGGGTTCACGTGAGACCAAAGGTTTTTTGTGAGACCCGTAAGACCAATTTATGTTCATTGATCAAATTTATGAATTAATGAT